TCGTCGAATATCAGAAGAATCAGCTAGTTAATATTCCCCTACGTCTAATTTGCCGACCCACCAGCTTAACCTCGTCAGAAGATTTACTTATATGAGCGGTCCGCAAAACACTTGAATATCCACCCAATACTAAGCCATCACCGCCTTCAACTGAACAAAGAGTGGAATACTAAGCGTTTTTCTTTTCTAGCTAGTTAGTCACTTTTACGCAGGGCAATGGTCACGTGAAGTACTTGAGCGTATTGGAGGATCCGAAAAGTACTTTGATGCTGAGAAAAATGTCACTGCGCCGCATTCTTTCGTTCTTCACACCTCACATGAAATCATTTCTCATTACCGATATGATAGCTGGAAGAACTCGAAACGATTTTTTGTTGGCTGTCGATCACACCGATGATGATCAATACCGCTGCGTAGGATCCGTTTCATCGAAAACAAACCGAACCGGTCAACGAGTTGCTCAGTGCAATGTGACCTCCATACACTTAACGACTACAACGAACACGGAAACCCGCAATTATCGACGATACTAATCTGCGCTCATCAATTTGTAATAAACAAAACCAGTTTACAGGGCTTGATAGGACGACTGCCGATCCTCAAAGATAAATCAAGGAGAATTTTATGACGCTGAGACTTCCGAAATCTACAGATGTTTTCGCGTATGATCCGAAATTGATTCGAAATTCTAATAAGTGACCAAGCCAACATATTACTTGGTAGTGAGCAAAGCCACTTAAATAGACATCAATCAGAAGAGTATGATACAAAGCGATGGCCGATTGATTCACTTGACTCCCACTTTTACCAACTACAAAATGAACAGTGTTTAACACCAAGCAGTTTACAAATGCTTCATGGATTCCACATCCGCAGGAATAATTAAGAGGTTCACAATACGTGAATGCGCCCTTACATCGTTTGATGAGTTCAGAAATTTAAGGAAGAAGATATTTACAAATGAAAGGAAGATGATAAGATGAAAACGTAAAGTTCTTATTGCTCACAAACTGCCTTCAAATAAAAAAAAGCATATGAATATCCAAGGCCCTGATTCGCCAAAAACACGGCATCTTCCAATTTAAAATTTAAAATCCGAGTTCAAGAGAGCCATGCACATGAGAAGAATAATTAAGAAAGTATTGACACAGTTTCTGGCTTTTTTTTTTGATCACTGAATCAAGGGATTACCATGTTTTTTCTAACGAACTAAAAAATCTCTATTAAAAATAATCTCTACAAGTAATCTCCACGCATGTACAGTGGCGGACAAATCTTCACCGAAACGGTTTTTCGTTTATTACATTTTCCCTCTTTGAATTTCTGAAGATCAGCTAAAGCCTTTTCTTTTGAAAGCCTTCATTCCTAGATCTCAGGGTTTTTGAATCCTTGAGATCTAGGAATTATTGGAAACGATTGAAGACAGAAAGACAGAACACCAAAATTTGAAGGAAACTAGTCAGTGAGGAAACTACAATGCAGGATATACTAGTTCGACGAAGACTTGACTGTGGGCGTGTACTATATATGATAAGAGGTGGTAAGAGCAATTAGCAGCAGAGGTTAAATTTTGGCTCGAATTCTGCTTGAGACAACCCAGCCTTTCATTGCTACAAAGCCGCTGATATGAAACCACATTCGTCCAGGAACACAGAAACACTGCGTTTATTATCAAACCGCAAGTCTATTACTTATTGTTCGAGCCATATTGCATTCGTAAGCCATATACCTTTATGACTTTGTAGAATACCGCGTGGTTCGTGGGGAATGCGGAATGGAGAATGGTAACTTTGGATTATATCCCTGCCTACAAATCAAACTCCTATTCGATGCATTCATTTTTCGGCTTCGAAAGGTTTTGGAACAAATCAGAGAGATTTTCCGTTTGCACCAGCGAATGTTGACGTTCATTTCAGGCACGTTCATTTTCACCCACCCGCTCACCATTTCCCCTACACTCTACGGCCGGTCGCCGGGCAAAGTTCAACGAGGAACTTCCGCTTCGAAGTCCTCTCATTCTAACTATCCCATTAATTACTCATTTTCAGAATTCAAAACGAAAGCGGAATCACGACGAAAATGAAGGCAAACTGCCCAAAAATGTCTGAAGTACAAATAAAATGTAGAGATCGTCTTAGAACTACTTCCACAGCCTTTGCTCCACGAGCACTAACATATTTAAATCTTATTTAGATATTAACACGTTGACGACCGCGCAGGACATACACATTACGCATCTTAAACACGCGACTCGGTTAACTTGACTTGTGCCTTCTTTTCAGAAACCCCATATGCCTTATCGGATACAGAAAATAGTGCACTCGTTACCAATAATGGAACTATTGCTGCAGTAATAACTGATGATGAAAAATTATAAAAAAGAAAGGTAGATGGCAGATGTAAGCTGGGAAAACGAGAGAGAGAAGTGAAAAGCACGCTATTCAGATAATGAGAAGTATTTCAATTGTATAGAAATGATTTCCTCCTTAGCAGGTCTAGATTCTATGACGAATTCAAACACACCTTCTTTTTCATAAGTTCGCCCTTTGTGACCGCGAAGTTCTTCACTTTGTCAGAAAACTTCTTCTTCTCTTTCACAATCTATTTGAAAAACGCATTAAACCTTAGCTCCAAGCAAAATTATGCTATCCTTTTCAGACTTTCACTGCAGCGCAAACTTACATATTCAATCACTTCATCGGTGTAGTTGAAATTCATCGCCTTCTTGATATCGAGTTCCTTCTTCTCAATGTGGTCCATTGTTGGCAGCGATCCACACTAAAACAGTCAAGGTACTTAGTTTTACGTCCCACTCTAATTCTTAATTCGTCTCGAAAATACCTAAAAATCTTTTCTAGAACAAATGAGCATTAACAAACCTCCTCCTTCGTGACCGTTCTCCATTCCGAGAACTCTTCCTCCCCAAACTGAGCGTTGGAAACAAACTCAATTCGGAAAACTCGTTCATCGGTGCCTGAAGAAGAAAGAAGCATGGTTTTAAAACGACGGGAAGGAAAATTCGTGACAAAAGAAACGCACCATATTTCAGCTTCAGTCCTTTGTTCGTCTTGAGATTCTCAAAGGTGTAAACCTTATTTGTTTCTACCACGTCCACAACTTGGGAGAGCTAAAAATTACTTGCTGTGACTGTTACTGGCACCAAACACAGTGCATGTTCCCTGACTCGCCATTCCAAATCTTCAGAGACTAGGGAATGTTAACAGAATTTTATTCAAAGCATCACACAAGACGTTCTCTTCTGAGCAGCCAAATTTTTACAGGCTTACAGTTACGTGTGTTTTTGCTCGAAGCAGAGATTACGATATGTTATGATATTGGGTTGGAGCATGAATGTTGATGATTGAGGTTGAAGATGATATGGATATTCTTGAGCTACGAAATGAGAAGACGTCGTTTTCTTTCATATTGTAAGTGTGCTGAGATGTGGTGCTAAAAATTGGAAAATCATGGTTAGAGAAATCTATTATAAAGAAAAAAAGCTGCCAAAATAGGAGCTCCAAGTATCCATCGTCATCATCAAACTTTACCCCAGTGGACCCTCAATTTCAAATCATATTCAAACCGTACAAATTAACATAATGAGGACTCTGAAAACGGTTTCACTACCCTCTTTTAAAATTTGAATCTTGCAATCTCATCTCATCTTGCATCTTTGAATAAAAATGTTATTTCTTGCGAAATACAATCAAAGCCGTAAACAGATACTAAAAAAGCCGAATCAACTGATTAGTATTGTGTTTGGCCTTGTTTTTTGGGTTTGAAATGTATTTTTCGTTGTTCGAATAAAATAACGGTTTTTTGCTAGTATGCGGAGGTTATTTGTCTGAGATGAAAAGGGAGGACAGCAGTCATAACATCCACGACATAAGTTCGAATAACAACACGCTACGTCTGAACTTCTCAACTACACTCTTTCAAAAATGTGATAGAAGAACTCGAAACAAATAGCATTGACTTATACTGTGGAAGATACCACCATATCCGCCTAGTCCAATTCGTACGAAACATCCTATCACTGTTTTTGCGAAAAAAGGAGCGTACACAATTTTTGCCATTTTGTAACGTGACATGCGAGCTCTTGACAATTCCTGGACAGTTTCAACCTGAAAAGAAAAACAGGATATTAAGTGTGGTTGGTCTAAATTCTCTATGAAAGAACCTCTCTCTTAGCCGCTTTTTTCTCTTCTTCATCTTCGCTTTCAGCGTCTCTTCTCGGCGATGATTCTCGAGAAGATGATCGAGATGACGCGGTTGACGAAGAAGATGATGAGGAGGATGAAGACCCATCGCTGTCGTCCTTTCCAAACACGGCGTCGATAGAAAGGGCAGCCTTTTTCGCTACAATGGCAATATTCCATGAAGAACGCATAAGCGATGACAACAAAGGCTCACCGGCTTTATTTTCTTTATCTTTTCGTTTAGCAAGCAAATCAGCCATTGCATTCTTTTGCGTGGCTTTTTTATGTATTTCAGACGGACGGTGAAATTTCATATCTGCTTCTGATTCCGACTCCGACACAGCAGCGCCCTTTGATTTCGATCCTGATTGCTCTTTAGACCGCGACGGTTGAGATTTCCCTTTATCTAAAGGATTTAGCAATGGGTAGTTGAGTACAAAAGAAGAACATGAAGAAAAAACACAGGAATCTATCGGCTGCCGAACACTAAGATCCTATCACTCCGAGGAAACCAACCGTCATCACTATCGGCATCATTGATTCGTTTCTTTTCTTCACGCTTACGTTTCTCCTTCTTTTCTTTCTTATCACCTCCAGAAGATGAAGCATTCTTCGCTGCAGCTAATTTCTCCTCAATTTGCTTTCTAAAAATGACAATTTCAGGTAATCAATCCCTGCCCATTCAGCTCACTAACAGGAAACGCACCTAGTCCGTCTCATCTCTTGCTGCTCCATACGATTAAATATTTCCTGCTCTCGATCCTTCTCATTCATCGACATCACTTGGCGTCTATCCTCTTCATCCGCGAACAGATCGTCGTCCATCTCGCCCTTAAGAGAATAAGATGAAAAATGGAAAATAACACACCAAATAGAAAGACGCAACACTCATGGGAAGAGAATGGTAATTTAACGTGCCACTTTAACCATCTCACACATCGCTAACCCCCACTCATGTCGACCGTAGATAGCCTAATTCTAACGGTGGTTATTAAAGGACTTCACACAGTTCCATTTCCAAAGATTTGAAAAAAGCCACATTTAGACGCCTATAGGTATGGTCTGATTGAGCCTGAACGCTGGCCGATAGACAATGAAGATGAGGGGATAAAATCTTTGACAAACAGTGCGTGACGAGCTAAAGGACAAAGTGAGGTCCTTTGCAAAAAACTATGCCTATTAATTACCAAAGGCATTCGACGCATTGAACAAAAGAGGGCTATAATTGGTGTAACGAAAAGTGCTAAATTGACGGGAAACTTGAAGAGAGAACAAACCTAAACAAGCAACAGTTAAAGAAAAACGCTCTACTCGGTTTGTTGAGCATGCGTGGCGAGACGTTTGTGAGCCACTCTGTTCTTTAAAATTTGACCCTTCTCGAATCCCTTTCTATTTGAAACCAAAACACAGCCAGCAAGACAAAGCAGAAACTTTCATGCACGATTCGCCCAGGGCAATGATCTGCTTCAAAGCAGTCATTCTTCATCGAACACCAGGAATGATAGCAAATGATGTTTCATTAATGACTCTCCAGATAGGTATCAAAGGCAGTGAGGTAAGAGGGAGGTTTCCATCAAAAATGCTATGAGACATTTGCCTTTCCTTTACATTACTGGTCTCGGATTGGAAGCCACTATAAACGAGATACATTTGCGGCGGAATATAAAGTTTTTCCCGGATACCAGGTCACAGTCTAAGCTGCACGATCTGGATGACTTTAGAGGATTGCAATTTCTCTATGGAAGAGCTTTCAATAACCTGTTAATATTGTTGCGAATATCCAAACGAGTACACCTTCAAGCAATGTACTGCAAATTCGCAACCGAAAAATTGAACTCACTCGATCACTTTCTTCACTCATGTTTCTTTTTCTCTTAGCACTACTCGATGCGCCGCTCTTTTTGCTCATCGAAACAGATCCCTTCCTCTTACGGCTAGCAGCTGCGCGTCCATCGTCACTATCTGATCCACCGTCGGAGTCAGAATCATCCGAATCAGAGGAACCTAAACAATTGGTGCAAAATTTACATAGAAATCCCAGCATACATCGGAATCCCAGCTTAAGATATCTTATTGCTGGAATTGAAAGAGTTACTTCTATCAATATATATCATTCAAAATGTCGCAGAGCGAATGCCGTGGAGCACCTGTGACTCCACTAACATTTTTTTTTGATTTTTTTTCTGTTTTTGTGGAACTACACCTCTCGCTCGATTGACATAATGGTGGTTATCGGGCGGAAATTGAGATTTGGAAGAGAGGGTGGATTTCGATATCGAGATGTGGACAGTATCAGGGCTGATTGCAGCGAACTCTTAAAATCTTGGATAACTTCCGGATGCGAACGAAAAATACATGTTATGGAAATCGAGTATTTCTGCTAATCTTTTACTGTTTTCACATCCCTTCCCCCAATTCACCTAACTATATGAACTACATGTCCAAATCAGTCGAGCTATCTGTTCTACAACTGTCTGTCTCTATGAATCTTATGTGAAAATTTGGGCGAATAAAACTTTTTAGAACCATGCACAAGCTTGGATAACACATTTTGAAAGCCTATACACATGAGCTTTATAAAATTTCTGAAACTCACCAGCACTTTCAATAATCGCTTTACTGCTTGTATTACGTGTGGGACGTTTTTTGTGCTTCTTAGAAGAAGCATCTGAGTCATCCGAAACCTAAAAACAGCATGGAAATTTCTTCAAATCACTTCCAAAGCAATAATTGGTAGCAATATTTATAAATAAATAACATTAGATGTCCATATTCCGACTAGCTAGACGCCAAATCAAGACACAAGTCAAAAGTTGTGCACTGAAACACACCTTTGGTTTTGTGTCTTCGTCAGAAGATGAATACTCTGATGAAGTCATCTCTGTAGTCACTTCTCAACTACACAGTCCCTAAATTTTCCAGTAATCAGCTTTTAGCACGAAAATGTTGAAGTGTTGTCCAAGATCTAGGCCTTCACTGCCTTGTAAACCTTTCATATGCCTTCATCGACGTCAATGCCTTCCCCTTTCTATACGTTTCTCAATCTCTTATGTACTATTCACACATGCTAAATTATTCATGTGAACACTTCAACATTGACGTCGACTTCGACATATAAAAGGTAGCCATTTCAGCCTGATCTGACATTTTCTGACGACAATTCCCTTGCATTGAGCTGGATATCATGAACTTTATGCCACACTTGAATGCGATGATACATTCTCACATAACTTATAAAACCACTACACATTATGTCAAACAAATGAACACATTTGGTGGAATTTTGAAATCAATCGAAAATGAAGAAATCAACGCCAAGTTACAATCAATAATGAAGGTTCGCATAATTCAATTCCGGTCGCCTAGAGGCAGTGCCTAACGCGCGCCGCCGCATGCCGGTGCCAATTGTGGCTGACCCCACAGTTCCACCTAATACTTCCACCGATCGATACATAATGACGGTCATCTTGCTCGCAGAGCATCACACTAACATTTCAAGTAGTTCAT